GTGTCCACTTCAAATGTCTAAATCATCAACAGCAAAACAATTATAGGATAAAAACAATATACAACATAAAGCTAGAACAGGAACTCATAGTGGCATCCAACCTCTGCAAGCACAAATCATCTGTTCTCTGGTAGACATGAGTTCCTCCTACCCTACAAAATGATATAAGGGTTTCAAAGGTAATCACCCAAACTGTTGGAATTACTGTTTACTTTGTGTAGTTCAGTATCTATATAGTAGTTTTCATTGTTAGTTCATTCACACACACACACACACACACACACACACACACACACACACACACACACACACACAAGTGGATTCACTGGAAAAGAAGCAGTATGTATCCAGCTCCCCTACAGCCAGAGAAGGGGACTCGAGTTTATATCATGCATTGGGTGCGCGCCTCGCGGCATCACACACTGGTACCTCGGTTGACGACTATGGCGACCGGCGGCACACCTGCAGCTGCTGCTGTACCATTTGTGATTACATTTGGTTATAAAAACTTCAAACAGGACGGCACCAACAAAAGGAGCGTTGACTGCAAAGTCTGCAGTACCCGAATCAAGGATGCTGGATCCACCACATCAAATTTTATCAGGCACCTGAAAACTCACCCGGATAGCTCAGTCACATTAACGCATATGGACAGTTAGCTCAGCATCACCTATGTAACGTTCACTTAGCTTGCTACTAGCTTTGTAACTGAACATTTGAATAGATGAGTGAATGTTAGTTTGCTTGTCGCACTTTTTGCATTGAGTGGCGTTGCAAATGCAAACTCAACCTTTCCTACTGCAGCTCAAACACTAAGTCTATTGTGAATAAGAGGAAGTTAATGTGGCTGTTACTGAGGTTGGTAGTGACGGCAGCTGTTTTTGAATCAGCCACAGTGAGCTGTGTGTTCAGACAGAACATGAGAACATGAATTAAACAAAGTCAACTGAAGATGCTGTCAGAAATGAATTCTCCAGGGTAGCACGAACTATAACATGGAGCAGTTTTCCAAGAGTATTGCTATATCTTGGAAGACAAATATCAAACAATAAAATGCAATCAGTTAAATAACTTATTATAACAGGTCAGAATTGAATTTTAGTCACAGCAGCTAATTAATCTTCTGCTGCCCAGGATAATACAGTCAATCAATTAATTCTTCAAATAAATAATGAACCATTTGTGTAATTAACTTAATTACTAGTTGGATTAATGAACTGCTGTTCTCTGCTTCCTCTCTGGCCCGCCTTTCCTGCAATTCTTTTAATTTTTGTTTTTCCTCTTCCATTTCCCTTTCATGAGCAACCTCTAACTCAAACTTCTTCTCCATGTCAGCCTTTGCTTCACTCATTTGTTGCTCGTACTTTTCCTTTATTTTCTTCTCCAGTTCCTCCCGCTCTTTGTGCATTTGCTCTTCTTTCTCTTTCAGGATTCGTTGTTTCTCCTCTTCAATCGCTTTCTCTGCCTTCTGGAACATTTCAGTGGTGTAATGGCTTCCTCCGTTCTTCTCTGTTATATCTCTGATCTTGTTGAGCAGCTCTCTGACCTGAGAACGATCCTCCAGGTCGTTATTGAAGACGTGGTACTGGCCGTTACATTTGGCCACAAGTTCCTGCAGCCCTTCACTTTCCTCCAAGAACTCTTCAATCGATTCCTCTTTGAGCAGGTCACCATGGGTAAAGAGAACCATGCTGTATTTGAGTGATTCCTCTCCAAAGATTATCTGAATCTTCTGCACAGTCTTCTTCTCTTCCTCTGTGAATCTTCCCAGTTGGATGACGACCAGGAAGATGTGGGGTCCAGGAGAAGCATAAGAAATGCTCTGGGCAATGTCTTTAACTGTTTTCTCTTCATCAGTTCTGGTGTCAAACAGACCTGGAGTGTCGATGACAGCAACCTTTCGTCCATCCACCTCACCACGGGTCTTAGTACAGTGGACAGTCAAAGATTTAGAGGAGAACTTTGATTTAAAGCTCTTTTTCCCAGAATGGTGTTTCCTATTAGCTACAATATTCCCAAATATAGACACATCTGCAATTTCTTTCTTTTCAACCTGTTTGTGCTCGACAACGTCTTCTCAATTTAAAACAGGTTCAACTCATTTTAGCTAAATGTACTGAAAGCTTGTTATCTATGAGCCATTCTTACACACACACACATATATATACAGTATAAATCATTACCAAGAGACGTCATTCTCACATGGGTGTAATGTGGTTAAACGTTAAATATAACTTAAAATATGTTTGTATTAAAATACATTCTGAAGTCTGGATCACAAAAAGGTCTAATCATAGTTTTCTGATTTAAACCTCAGAGGATCAGTTGATGTTGGACTGTTGGCCACAAACATTAAAATAAAAAATGAAATAATTTACACAAATGAAAATGTACATTATCTATGAATAAAATATTTCATTTGTGCCAATAGATTATCCTAAATGTTATATTTACAGGTAGTATCTCCAACAGTCATCAATCAGCTGCTGCTTTCTCTGCAGTTTGTTGTGTGTAACTGCTGTAAAGTCAGTGTGGCTCTGATCCAGTCACAAGCTGCACTGAGCTTGAACTCTGGTGTTTCTTTCCCCACTAAGTTTCACTGTATTTCACTTTCATGTGTTATGTTTCAGTAACATTTCAATTTTGCTATAAACTAGCACAGGCCTCCTGTATGTTGGCCTCTTCTGTTAACTATAAACAGCAAACCTGGTCAGGTGATGGAAGTATACACCCTCCTGTTCACACTGTACATCCATGACTACATCCCCGGCATGGAGACAAGACAAAAACAACAAAAATCTGCAGTTCTTATGTAATTAAATGTTCATTAAGTAACTGTTATTATCACAAACCTGGCACAATGAGGAAACCAAAAACTGGAATGTGAATGTTAATAAAGTCACAGCAGCCATATATGTGTGTGTGTAAGAATGGCTCATAGATAACAAGCTTTCAGTACATTAAGCTAAAATGAGTTGATCCTCTTTCAAATTGAGTTGACTAAATTGACTTTGGTTGAAAAGAGAGAAATTGCAGATGTGTCTATATTTGGCAATATTGTAGCTAAGATATGATCTAAGAGTGCGAGAGCTAACTTAAGTTCCTGCTGCAGTCCTGCTTCACTAACGCCACATCTTTTGACAAAGTGTTTTTAATAAATATGCCCCTAATAAACCAACAACCCCAAGTAACACTAGAAGTAATGGACTACTGTCCTCTGCTTCCTGTCTTGTCAGCCTTTCCTGCTCTTCTTTCCTTTTTTCCATTTCTCTTATTTGATCTTCCATTAACTGATCATTCATGTCAGCCTTTCCTTCCCTCAGTTGTTCCTCATACTTTTCCTTTATTGTCTTCTCCAGTTCCTCCCGCTGTTTGCGCATTTCCTTTTCTTTCTCTTTCAGGATTCGTTGTTTCTCCTCTTCAATCACCTTCTCTGCCCTCTGGAACATTTCAGTGGTGTAATGGCTTCCCTCCGTTCTTCTCTGTTATATCTCTGATCTTGTTGAGCAGCTCTCTGACCTGAGAACGATCCTCCAGGTTGTTATTGAAGACGTGGTACTGTCCGTTACATTTGGCCACAAGTTCCTGCAGGTCTGTGCGTTTTATCAAGAACTCCTCAATCGGTTTCCCTTTGAGCAGGTCACCATGGGTAAAGAGAACCATGCTGTATTTGTCTGCTTCCTCTCCAAAGAGATCTTTAATCTTCTGCACAGTCTTCTTCTCTTCCTCTGTGAATCTGCCCAGTCTGATGACAACCAGGAAGATGTGGGGTCCAGGAGAAGCATAAGTAATGCAGTGGGCAATATCTTTAACTGTTTTCTCTTCATAAGTTCTGGTGTCAAACAGACCTGGAGTGTCGATAACAGAAACCTTTTGTCCATCCACCTCACCACGGGCCTTAGCACATTCAACAGTCACACAGTTAGGGGAGAACTCTGATTTAAAGTAGTGTGTTCCCAGAATGGTGTTTCCTGTGGCGCTCTTCCCAACTCCAGTCTTCCCCACCATCACAATCCTGATCTCCTCATTGTTGTATCTGGTCAGTTCTGATGGGATGGCAGAAAAAAATGAACAAATACATACTGATGGAACATTTATTATAGAAATGGAACAGTCTAATAATAAACCCTCCCTGCATCAGGACAGGTGATTCAATCATTTTGTAACCTACAGTCTGTTGTGCTGTTAGATTGTAGGAGAGTCTCCAAAGCTCCCAAAACATTCTGCAAATATTCTGTTTTTCCACTAAAGCAATTCCCCCTTTAAAACAGATTGTTCTGTATTTTTTAAATACATGGAAATACTAATACAATATTAATAAATACCCTTAAATTATTACCCTGTGAATTTACATGTTTAATGTAAAATAATGTGAAAAATCTGTAACTGTAAATAATCATAAAATGACTTCTTATTTAAAAAAAAGTTAAAATAAACTTGGAAATCTATAATTGTTTTGCAGGTATTTACTGTTAAATTCAAATTTAACACTGTTAAAACAGTCTAAAATCATGTAAAATTCGTGACAAAAAAGTTTTTTTTCTGTAATTTTACATAGATTTGTTTTTTTAATTGACAGATATTTTATATAATTATGGAAACAGTTTTAAACAGTGTATAAAGCATTGGTAAACTGTCAAAATACAGTTTTTATCAGTTAAAGCAGCAATAATTACTGTAATCAACACAGATAATGACTTGTATTACATTTCTATAACTTTAAAATTTCAGATTCAAATAAGATAAATCTATTAATAACAGCACTCTTCTGTAAATGGAAGCCTGGTTATTTATATTATAGCAATGTTTGCCTGTATTTAAAGGCAAATTGTTTTTACTTGTGTAAATATCTTTAATTACACAAGATTTTATATAAAATTAAAGCTAAAAACTATATTTTAATTTTAGAAAATTACTGTATTTTTATTAGTCAGTTATTTTCTGTGCCCCAGCTGGCTGAAGTTTACCCGTTTTTTACATAAGATAAAGTGTATGACATGCTGTCCACCCATAAAAACATACTTATTGTAAGCTAAGGAGCTCCTAAACTTCTAAAAGGCTCACAAGTTACTATCTCATGGCCACAAGTTATTTATATTGTGCGCACAAGTTGAAGACCACGGGGGTAAGTTGCATTTATAGCTTCACAGGCATATGTTTGCTGATTTCTCCACTTTGTTTGAAACATTGTTGTGCTTTATTTAAGCAGTCAATTTGCTGTGTTATTTACGGAGCCCCTAAAGTCCCAAAAGGTAAAACTAATTATATCTTCTGCACACAAGTTATTATCTTATGGGCACAATTTATTTATCTTGTGCGCACAAGATAAATAAATTGTGCCAATAAGATAAAGAATATTTCCTTATGGGGACTTTAGGGGCTCCATAGTAAGCAACATTATGAATAGGATTCAATAGCTCACCATGTTTGTCATATTTGCTGGCCATAGCTGTATTATGAAGTGAAGAGCTGGTCTGCTGCCGAGCTGAAATAGTGAAGTCTGTCTGTAACAACACTTCCTTATATAAGCCAACCCTGTCCCCTCCCACCAGCATGTACAGGGAATGCCACCATTTATTTTATATGGAAAAGAATAAAGAGCAGGTAAACTCTGCCGCAAACCCTGTTCCCCGTCCCAGACAACAGCAAAGAAGACCACTGCTATGATACTAAACTCCCATCCTTTAAACATCTTAAAGAACTGTTGTACAGTGTAATAAAGCTGATAATTAATGAGTCGTTCTTTATGAATATCATTCAGAGTTTGAGTCTATAAAGACTATTTTCATTGTTCAATAAAGGGAAGTTCTTGTGCAGTTTAATGTAACTGGAGTATCAAACAGAACCTGGTGGAAGCTTTAAAAGAAAACAGAGTTTTACACACAGTATTGTTTCATTGATTATATTTGAATGAATGTAACTGCGACACATTAACTGTCCCGTTGCCACCGAGCTGCACTCCTGCATGGGCACAGACATTGTACAGTTGCCCCCTTCAATGGCCAGGAAGCACTGTACAGTTTGAGAAGGACAATATCTTAATGATAAAAAGTTAAATTAGAAGGTGATTAACATTCTTTTAAATTCCATGTAGAAATTATGATAATTGGAACAGGTGGAGGAGGCAACTACTGCGAAACACCTCCTAAAACCAGATTTAAAAACCATCTTACTGGAATACAGGTTATATTTGTAATACTGTCAGATAAAATACACTTATTGAATTGGCTTCCAGACCTGAAATACAGAATTAGAATCAGGTTCATTGCATACAAATAGATAATACAGTATATACATACAGAATATGAGTATTGTAAGTATAAAAAATATATGTGATATATCTTTTTTTATTAAAGAGCTAGATAAAGAAAGATGTGTAGTGTCTGTGGAGGGAGAGGATAATGTCAGTCAGAGACTTTGGGGGGTGCTGTACTTTGTTCATGAGGCCAGCTGGCAGGTTTTTGAATGTTTCCTTTATACCGTGATCTGGGTGAATACTGAGTACTGATTGGCTGCTGGGTGTCCATTAATACCTGATGTAGGACACCTACTAAGTAGTTTTAATGAAACTGTTCTAAATTAAATCTTGCCCCATATCATAACAATAATGACAACTGAAGTTAATGCAAACTAAAGTACATCAATCCCTTTGGAAACTAACTGAAACTAAAATGAATTGAAAACAATAATAAAAAATAACGTAAAATACAGCCTTAAATGAGGTGACTATTTGACAAAGTTACAGTTTTATTGTGTGAAACTCCCTCTCAGTGACAGAGTCTAGTAAAGACGAGGAGGAAATTCCTTATCTAAAAGACTAGAGACACATATTGTAACTCAGGATGCTTTAGTCTCATATTAGCTTTGGCTCAACTTTAGCATTACTTTTTGAGAATGGATCTCTTCATTGTCAGTATGGAGAGGAGGAATGATTACCAATCAAATGGAATCAATAACTCTTTTACTATCTGGATATATTTAAAGTCTACTGAAACATTGTGCCTTTTAAACACAGTGGAAAATGATACCTAAACATGAGAAAGATTTGTTATTATGAATGTTAACTATACCCCTTTTTATACATTTTACGTATAAATTAAACTTTTTCCACTTCATCGTAGCACAGAATCTGAAGGAAGAGTCGCTTCCCCACGGGAAGTCGGCCATTTTGATTTTCCTTTTCACTTTCAGCAAACTTTTCTCCTTGTATTTGTACGAACTCATTGGATCTGCTTCAAATTGGTCAGTACAGTCAATCTATGTTGCTGATTAAAAAGTCGTGCTATTTGTCTATGTACGTTGAAGGGCGTGTCCGTGGCGTGCAGTCAAAGTTGGCCATTTTGAATTCTGAATTCTGAACGAACTCCTCCTAGAGAATTCATCAGATCTGTGCTATTTGTGCATGTACATTGAAGGGCGCGTCCGTGGCGTGGTTGAATCGAATGTCAAACTATGATGCCATTTCCGGCATTTAAGGGCTTCTGTTTTAACTAACTCCTCCTACAGATTTGATCAGATTTACTTTAAGTACGATCACTTCAATCTACACACATTGGTTATCAAAACTTGCGCTATTTGTGACTGTATGTTTAACCGTGTGCCCGTGACGACGTGTCAATTTCTGCCGATTGGCCATAAAACAGATAGTACTTACATCTTCAGTATACAGTCCCACCCTGAACACGTCCTCACAACTTCAGTGTACATGATCCAATCTCAATGAAACTTCACACGTTTGATAACAGTCCCGCCCTGAACACATCTACATGACAATATTCGGATGCAGTGATTGCGCCACATACTGGCAACAGGAAGTAAGTGCTGCATGGCAACTTTGATCTCATTTACGTGAAATTTTCACGTTTTTGTCCGCACGCGTTACGCCTGCACGTGACATGGCCGCAGCACGCCCGAGTTGTGTGGAGTGCAAGTAATTTTATTTCAGAGACACGGGCCTGTATGTAATAAACCTCAGTTTGTAAGAGGTATTTTGCTACATTGCAGGCTAGTTTACAGTTTGATACTGTTTTAGCAAATTCAAACCAGTTTTTACAAAAACAGGACATCCACACCTAGTATGACTTTTCAAAATAATTAGTCCTTTGTCATCTGTGGAAAAAAATGGAAACAATTTTGGGCCAAACTTTACATTACGTCACTTTACTATTGCATCTCTACTGTAATTAAACCCTGACATAAACCTCTGGAATATCGGCCTGAGGAAGACCACAAGGATCATACTTAAACAGCACAGTCTGAAACTGACTAGCCTACATGACAATTATTATTATTATCATTTAAAGCTAATGTTATTAAAAACAACCACTGCAACACTATTTTCTTTTACATTTCATTCACGCTACTGTGTGTGTGTCAGAAATGCTTCAATTACAGATATTATTGCGCAGGACTTGCTGTGTTTTATTATACAGTCGGATATAGAAATGTGAAATCACAGTAAAAAGAAGCTTTTCCCCACAGCAGGCACTGTAATCTTTTCAAAAACCCCTGCAGCAGCTGATGTATTTTTTGTTTCCTCCCACCCACATTCCCACATAATGGAGAGATATTTCAGTCTGAGAGCATATAGTTTTTCTTTAAACTTTCTGTCTACAAAGTTCAGTGTTGTTAACTGTGTTTTTTATGTGTTGTATGTGACACTTTAAACAACAATGGCAAAAACATCTGGCAAACTTGTATTCTGTGTGCACATTGCCCTGTTCACAAATCCCATCAAAGTCCAACTAGCGCCTCTCCGTGATTCACTACATGTTGGATTTCTATATTGTTTTTGCACCCATCAAGCCTTCAACCCTTATATAGAAGCCTTGGAGAATGTTTTGTGATGCCAATGCCAGCATGTGTGAGGGTAGGAACTGTGTTTT